TTTAGGTTTTACCGCGTGAGCAAAATCCATAAAATCATCATATTTTGAAGTCCTGGTTCATCCACTTTTTCTGCGCATCTTAAACTCCCGCTAAGCCCTTTGACAATGCATCAAGAAATTAGATCCGGAAGAAAGGAAAACTCCTAGCTTAAAAGAAAAGCTCATAGGCAAATAATAGGTATAACCACCGAAAGACTTTTTTCTGGAGTTCTTTTATTCTAGTAGATTTGATGAGATTTTTTTGATCAATAACATCAGTTGCAACTTTTTTTAGATATTTTCCAAGAATAAGGGGATTTTTTTTGAGAGGAATAACTGGAATTTTCAAATCCAATCTATCTTCCGGGAGGCAATTCTTTCTTTCTGAGATTGTCTTTTATTTGAAAAGGTTGTCCACACGATCTGATCTATCCACCGAAGGGGAAGCCAGAGACCTTTTTGGTTGGGTATAGAGAGAGACTTTCTTGAGAAGGAATTTTGTCCGAGGCTGATGGAGAAGGGGATTATCGGTCTCATAAGTTGTCGTGGGTTTGGATACTCTATTAAGGCCTCCTCCCCAGAAGGAAATAGAGCTCAAAAGGGTATTTGCATAAAGTAAGTCGAAAGCAGAGAAAACCTTTCGCGTTAGCGATCGGGTGGGCCCTTACCGGAACCTTATCTTCGATATTAAATCGGCATCCGAACACAATTCTTTTGACATTTTGATTGGATTTCCTAATAGGGAAAGTATATCTACAACTTTACTGCATTAAGGCAGGACTCCATCTCTTTCTTTTTTGATAGATTTTTTTTTTAAGATATTCTTAGAAAAAGAAAGCAACATAAGCGGAAGGAGCATTTAAGAAATGCCTAGCATTTTGGATTTAATAATGGCAGAAAGCCATTTCTGATGATGCGAGAATCAGTTGGGTTCATCAAGGAAGTTCATTACCCAGATTCCTCGCAAACGTGGTGTTAGTTAAAAAAAAAGTACCTTCTTTTGTTTTAGATAAAGGAAATTCCTGATTTTCGGATATCTCCCTATATAGAATCGAATAGAGAAAGAAAAGGAAATTCTTATTCGAATAGAAATCAATTTTTATTCAAAACCGGATATTTGAAATTCAACAGACCCCCTAGTTTCTTTGTTTTCTTTTTGAGAAATAACCGAACTGAATGCCATAAAAAAACCCCTTCCTTAATGAATGAGACTCGTGTAAACCCCTTATTGATTCGGCCATTTCAAGAGGGTTTATTGACCAAAATTTGAAATTAAAGAGTGATTGTCCAACACCATTTTTTGTAGTCTTTTTTTTTTTTTTGGTACAGGGACCTTCCGGTTTCCAGATTCACAGGGGAACCGACTAATCCAGAATCGAGCCGGGTAGGACCACAAGGGCGGCAAAGCTCCACCTCAAGAGTTTTAACACTGCTACATTCTCAGAGCTCGAACTCGAGACTACTGGTTAAGCTAGAAGAGACTCAAACCATCTCATTCAAGCGCTCTTGGGTTTTGTAGTCTTTTTCTAAGTACAAAGAAGGAGGTCAGATGCCTAATAATTAGACAAGAATGCGTCTGGGATACAACACCCCGATGATATCATGTTGAAGCCACTCGCCCACACTAGGAGGAGGCGTAGAGAGCTCATGGAGGCCAATAAAATAAGAAGAAGTCAGGCTCGATAAATGGTCTGCAGCAAAGTTTGCATCTCTATGCACATGTGGAAGACTAACAGACTAGTCCCATTGGAGCATTTGACTAATGGCCTTGACTAAGGCACCGTTCATCCCAAAATCACTCTCGGGCCCAAGAACCATCTTAAGCACACACTAGCTACCAATTAATTTCCACAACTTTACGAAAACTTTTATCCCATGCAAGTTGCAGTCCCTAAAAAAGGCTTCACATTTCTGCGCCAGTGATGGTACAATAGCCAATATGCATGAGAAGTCCCGTAATCCATCTGCCCATCTCATCGCAAAGGAGTCCTCCCGCACAATCGAGCTCGGAAGTCTTGTCAAAGGCCCCATCAGTGTGAATTTTCATCCAACCGGGGTCCGGCGGGGACCAATAAATTCAACGAGACTCGAATCGATCCATTTCAGCTCCCATTTTGTCGAAACTCCGTGAGGAATGAATGTAGGACTGCAAACGATTTAGCACCTCCACCCGCCTCGTCTCGCAACCCACGGTACGACCATTGAATATGCGATCATTTTGCCATGCCCATGCTTTCCAAACCACGATAGAGAATAGGCTAGCCCAGTTCGTGTACGAGCCCAACCGAGCATGTGTAAGATTACGTATAAACCCCTGCCGCAATGGCTGCTCAAATAATAAATCCGCGCCATGGCCTGCCGGGAGGAATCGCTGCCACAAGGATTTCACGAATGGACAATCACGAACCACATGCAAGACCGTTTCGCGGTGACCAGCAGCCATTTCATGCCTTGTAAGCTTTTAAAAATTGGTTAACAAGACCTCTTAAACATGCAATTGATTTTCTAATTCATTTTGTAACCTCCCAAGTTTCAGGCCTTGAGTTATGGCTTTAAATTTTAATACCATCATTTTTTTACCACATTGAAAACCGAAAGGGAGCCTCACTACCATGGCTTTCTTGAGCAAATTTCAGCAAATAGTTTACTCCTTCACTCATGTGTTTCCTCTCTGAAAAACATCATCCTCACCTCTCTAAATTGTGCTCTGCGACGAAACGTGCACCATCAGCCGCCGAGAGTCGTGGTCGAGTTCTGTCCGCGAGCAGCTGCAACCATCGTCGTAGCAGCCTGAGACCACAATACGCCCATCACCGAGAGGAGGACCCAATGAGAGCTGCTGCTACTGCTCACCTAGCCTAGCCGCACCCACCAGGAGCCTTCGCGAGTCTATGCAAGCAACCGCGAGTCAGTGAGCAGCAGCCTTGTACCGAGCTACATCCACGCACGATTAGCCGAGAGAGACGTCATGCTGAGGATATACCCAAACAGCAGCCGATGGGACGCGTGTTGCCGGGTATTACCGAAGGTCTGACCAGCGAGCCATCCGAGACGTGTATAACACTACAAGAAAACACTTCAACCAACGGAAAATTCCAACGGCAAAAATTTCCATTGGAAATTCCAATGAATATTCCAACAAACTTAAGTTTATGTTGGAATAAGTGTTGGATGGTTAAGGAATTCCAACGGATTTTTTTCGTTGGAATGGCTGCATGAATTTATTTCCATAGGATTTTCCGTTGGATTTTAGCTATTCCAACGACCCTTTTTCTCAAGAATTTTTATACGTAGGAATATCCGTTGGAATAGCTATTCCAACGGAAAATATAAAGAATTCCAACGGAAAATTTTCGTTGAAATGTATGAGTTTTTTTTGTAGTGGCAGCGAGGCTTTTGAGACGTCCGGGAGTAGCCATGCTTAAGCCGGCCCTCAAATCCAATATACCTCCTTGCTTGTTGATTCAAGAAGTGAGGTAATTTCGAAGCATCCTTGGTGTTATCACTACAAAATAAATGTTATATTCCAACGGAAAATCCTATGGTAATATATTCCAATAGAAATTCCAACGGATATTCCAATGGAATAGCTTCTGTTGGAATAGTTCCAACAGAAATTCCAACGGAAATACTCCGTTGGAATATGTTTTTCATTGGAATTTTAGATGGAATTTGATGATTCCAACGGCTATAATTCCAACGGCTTTTTACTGTAGGAATTTCCGTTGGAATATGCAAATTCCGTTGGAATTTTTTTTTTTCACCCCCGTTGGAAAATCCACCGTTGAAATCGTCAAAATTCAACGGAAATTCCAATGGAAAACCCATTCCAACGGAATATTTTCGTTGGAATTTCCGTTAGAATCCATTGAAAAATTCCAACGGAAATAATAGTATTGAAATATCCGTTGGAATTGTCGTTGGAATAATTCTTCGAAATATATTTCCGTTAGAATTTCATCATTTTCTTGTAGTGTATGCTTAGATCTTGTTTTTATTAGTTGAGAAATAAATGTTTAACACTACAAAAAAACACTACAATTCCAATGAAAAATTCAAACGGCAAAAATTTCCGTTGGAAATTCCAATGAATATTCCAACAAACTCAATTTTATGTTGGAATAAGTGTTGGATAGTTGAGAAATTCCAACGGATTTTTTCCGTTGGAATAGCTGTTGGAATTTATTTCTATAAGATTTTCCGTTGGATATTTGCTATTCCAACGACCATTTTTCCAACGGATTTTTTGTACGTAGGAATATCCGTTGGAATAGCTATTCCAACGGAAATATAAAAAATTCCAACGGAAAATTTCCGTTAGAATGTAAGAGTTTTTTTGTAGTGTAAGGTCCTTTGAATAATTTATGAAATTGGACTTTCATACGTCTTGTGATAGTAGCCATTATTAAATCTTGCGAAATGATGCCTTGATGTGTTGAAAAATGTGTACCTTAGAGCACCAACAATGCTTTGAGTCTCTTTTTGCATATGTGTCAAATAATTGGACTTAAGTCCATAATGGTATGGACCAACCCAAACCAAAAAAATTCAAAATCTATCCGATGCAAAAAAAAGGTACTAGGTCTAGTATACCCAACAACCAATAAAAATATCATAATAATAAATGCATGCAAAAAATATGTTTTGTCTAAGAGAAAAAGAAAATTGTAAATAATTGATGACTATTGTAGGTTTGTAGTTGGGTCTAAAATAGACTCAAGTGTGAGCTTGATCTCCTTTTTCTAGTGCCACATAAGCTAGACCAAGTCTATTTTTTGTTGCATTGGAATACATATTTTTATAGACTAAGTCTATTTCTTACATGGCATTTAATTTTTCTTTAAGAGACCCAAAGCATTGTAGGTGTTCTTAAAGCCTCGAATTTTTTATACTTGAAAGCCTTGAAAAATTATTGATTTGTTGCTTTAAGTTGCGGTGTTTGTGAGGCTTGGACCCTTGAGTTTATTATTGAAAAACCACGTACGAAAACACTTGTTTGTCGAGACTTGAACCACCTGGAATGAACCTAGTCGGGATGCCACCGTGTGCCAGGAGAACGTCGGCCCGGGCGTCGCGTTGTACCAGGCAAACAACAACCTTGTGGGCGCAACCGAGTTGGCAGCACGGGCCTCGCAGGCGCGCTCAGTGTGTCGCGAGCTACGCCCTCGTCTCGCACTGTGCCGCTACTGCTACTGCTATCGTCCAAGTACGCACACGTCCAACCCAAGTAACCCCGTAGGCATCCTAACGTGCGCGAGCGTGATCGCCAATTTTCCGTGCCAGCATGCAGTCCAGGGCCTCCACTCCCGCAGCACACCTTCCAGTGACCACACAACACACCCCAACAGGCCTGCCACATTCCAAGCGAGCAGGCTGAGCTCCAGCATGTTGAACAACTGATAAAGATGTGGTCATCGACCCTTCTGCACCCGAGGACGCAATGATCTTGAGCCGAGATAAGGGACATGAGAGTAGACAGAATGCCCAACAGGACAGAGCGCACGAGAGGAGCCCGCACGAGTGTTGATCGACGCACAAGAGAAGCTCGCGTAAAAGGACACACTCAAGATAGAGCCCAGCGGGTCGATGCGAGCACGCGGTGTCGAGCTCCACAAGGTCGAGCACCACACAAGGGTCGACCAAGGCAATAGGGTGGAGCGAGCAACGGTCGACCAAGGCAAGAACGAAGCTTGAGAGATTGACGCTTGAGAGGTCGACGCGTAAAAGGTTGTTGCGCGAGAGGTCGACGCACGGGAGGACGATGCCCGCGAGATCGAGGCTCACAGGGTCGAGGTCAGACATATGCGGGGTCGAACACGAGAGGGTCGAAGCGAGAGCGGACCAGATGCAAACAAGTCAAACATGTGAACGACACTCGTTGGGTCGAGATGAGTGGGTCGAACCACTGGTCGACGCTCATTGGGTCGATCACGAGCAGGTCGAAGCTCATTTGGTCGAGCACGTCCGAGGTACGACATCTGAGGTACGAGGTGTAGGCTGCAAGCATACACGCGGCAATCCAAGAAGCCTCGTGGGACAAGGAATGGAGCAAGACCATGAGATGTTTGAGGTGCAAAGCTTCTGGACGTGCAACAAGCTTTGCACCTCAAGCAAGGCCGAGATCTCTCTAGAAGATTGAAGACCGATTTACTTAGCTTATTAGGATTCCAGTTTGGTTAGGATTTGGAATAAAGGCATGTGCCTTACTAGTTATTTGGTAGTTCTTATATTCTAGATATTTAGTTGCCTTAGGATTTTATATTATTTCTATAGTTTAGAATTCTAGTTCTTATATGATTAGTCTCAGTTAACATCTACAAATACTAGTCATTGTCATTGAATTTGATCATTCAAGAATTAATAAGAAAAATCGTCCATTGAGCAATTATCTCGTGTTTAGAACTAGGTCGTTAGTGCGGGTTTTAACACAACCGTATTCGAAAGAAGGCCTTAGAGAGCCTTTCTTCACAATTTATTGTGTTAAAGTGAAGGACGTTAGCGCGTGTTTATTCACAAATCGGGTCAAGATACACGATTCCTCAACGACAGCCGAGCGTGTGTCACGTAGGGGGCGCTCAGGCGACTCGCGCTAGTAGTGATCGGCCAGAGCCAGCTGAATCAGCCGCACTGAGCCAGCATCGAGCCATGTGTCTCGAGCTACTTTCGTTCCTTGAACATATTTTTGAAGTCTAACCTCGAATTTTATACTAAAAGCCTTTTTCCGAGCTATAAATTACCTTTAGCCGAGAGTTCCAGTATTAAAACGTTTTTTTTTTCTAAGTCAAGGAACTTGAGCTAATTAATTTTTTTGATTGTTTTAATGGCTTTTCGAACAACGTCCCACAGATGGCACCAAATGGTGTGTAAAACAAGTGTCGGGGATTGTCTCGTCGTAGAAGCTCCGATGTTCAAGTCAGTTTTACGGGTGGAATTATTTGGTGTATAATAACTTAGAATGTTCATAGAGAGTAGAAGAAGATGATGATCATACCCCACCCATTTATATAGTCATTACCTTGTTGCTAAATATCTGCTTGATTTAGCTCCCAGCGTGCCCAGACTGTCCAATCTTGTTGCCCAAGCAATTATGTTACCCACTTGTTCTTTTTAAATTTTACTCAATTGTGTGCACACTGCTTTCACACTATTCTAAATAGTTCAGTTCCTTCTATATTTGACTATTCTTGTTTATGCTCAAGCAAGATCTACCTTTGAGATCGTCAATCGACCTCTCCATTTCCAGGTTGAGTTTTCGTTAGACTATCCTAAAGACTTAGTTAAACCTGTCCCAATCTCAAGTTGTACAATCTCAATCGACCTGTTTTCCCAACCTTAGGCCAGTGTGTTGTCCAATCTTCATTCGAGTTACCAGTTAAATTCAACAGTTCGAACATCTCTGAAAATTGTCATTCACATCATATACAGATATTAATTCAATTGTGAGGTTGATATTTCATAACAAGTAGTAGACTGATAGTATATTACAAAAAAGAAAAAGAAAA